CGCTCCCTTCTCAGTGGTGCGGGGCGGCGGGGAGGGTGTCCCCAGAGACTTGCATTCTCTGCTGTCACCTGGGGAAGCTTCTGACCCGCTCAAGGCCCTCCAACCCCAGGGCCTCCCTACCTCCCGCTGTGCCCTCACCCGGTCCCCGGCCTTCCTTGTAGGTGACTCTGCGACTGGACACCCACCCCGCCATGATCACCGTGCTGGAGATGGGGGCCGCCCGGCACTTCCTGCGCATGCAGCAGCTGGCCAAGAGCCAGGAGGAGCGCGCTCAGCTGCTGCAGCCCACGCTGGAGATCAACCCCAGGTGGGCTCCCGGCACCTGGACCCGGGGCACCCGCGACTCGCCCCTGCGCAGTGATGCTGCGCAGATGGGGGTACAGCTCACGACTGACACCTACCAAGGGCAGAAGGCTTATGGGCGGTTTGGGAACTACAGACACCAGCTGTGTGATCCAACTACATTGAGTTTATCCCCCCACCCCAGCCCCTGTGGGAGGTTCTAGAACACGGCAGTGCTGGCGGCTGGATGCCCCCGTGTCCTGCTATCCTGGTGCGGCCTATCCCTCCTCAGCGGCCCCACAGCCCTCACTGTAGAGACTCAGAGCTCCTCACTGTGCTCTAGTCTGACTGTCGTGTGTCCTGGACACAGCTCTGGGTGGCCTGTCAGTGGTGTCCCCAGGCATGTGCTTCTGAGGTCGTACCTCCTCCGCTTCTCAGCGGACGGTGGCCAGAGGAGGGGGCGGGCGTTTGTGTCGGGGCAGAGTAACAGGCAGGGCTCTGCCTCGGCGCCGTGATGCAGCCTTTCCTGGTGGACTTGGGGGTCGTTCTCATTTGGGGGCTGCTGGGACGGGTTGCTTGGACCACTGTCCTGTCTGGTCCGTGCCTGTGTTTGCCTGAGGCTCACCTGCCCCGGTGGCCTCTGTTGGGTGAGGAGACGCTGCTCCCGCGTGCAGCTGGCACGGGAGGCCCCAGGCCCTGCGCTTTGCGCCCTTTAGCTTGGCTTTCTGAGGACACGCCCGAGACGGTCCTTTGTCCTGTTCGTCTTGTAGTTTGCACTTTCTCAGTTGCATCTTCTTCCAGTGTCTTCATCTGCCTGAAGATGTGTTGAGAGGTTCTTAATTTTAACGAAGTCATAATTTTAAAAAACTCGTTAATTTGAAGTTTGGTTGACATACGGGGTCCGTTTTGGACAAACAATGATTTGACGTTTACGGACACGACCACGTGCTCGCCACGACGTCCCTTACCCCGTCACTGTGCGGTCCTGCTCTTCCTGTGACTGTACAGCTGAATCTGAGCCCTGCAACGCCTTCGCCCCCCGTGCTACAGGTCTGTGTTGGGTGCTTTTCTAGGTCTTGTTGAGAAATCTTTCTCATCAGAGTCTTGAATGTATTCTCCTAACATTTCTGTCTAAAAGCCTTAACGTTTTGGCTTTGGGGCTGGTTTTAGTCCATCTCTAATTGGTTTGGGATGTAAGAGTCGTCGTATCTCACTCCACATGAACACCCCAGCCGCTCACGCCTGTCCTCTCCCTGCTGACCTGCGTGGACGTCTCTGTCCAGTGGCCGCAGCGCACGGTCTTCCCCGCAGGTCTGTTCAGTGACCTTCCCCTTAGTTCCCTTCAAGGGTATCTTCCCTCCTGCACATCTGCGCTGTACGAGGTGGCCTGACAGGTTCCACACGCGCACACAGTTCAGCTTTTGATTGAGAGCCCCAGTCGATTTCGAATGAATGGGCATCGATATGTCCATTCTCTCATCCGTGAACATGCTCGATCTGTTTATTTAGGGTTTTTTTTTTTTTTTCCTTTTTTGGTATTTGAGAGAGAGGGAGCGAGCGAGAGAGGGAACACAAGCAGGGGGAGTGGGAGGGAAAAGCAGGCCCCCCACTGAACAGAGAGCACGATGTGGGGCTTGATCCCAGGACCCTGGCAGGTAAGTCATCTAGGTGCCCTGAAATTTCATCTTCTAACTTGCAGCTGTATATGAAAAGTTTTGGGGGGATTTTGTATACAATGATTTCATAAGATTTATTCTGCAGAGAGGGAGTACCTGGCGGAGGTAGGGACAGAGGGAAAGGAGATCTCCAGCCGACTCTGTTGAGCACTGGGGCTCGATACCATGACGGTGAGATTATGACCTGAGCCAAAACCAACAATTTTGGCTGCTTAACCGACTACGCCACCCAGGCGCCCCTACAATAATTTTTTAAATGAAATTATTCCAAGTTACCAAAAATGTTAGAAAATAGCAAAAAGCAAGCCTCTCTAGGCTTGTCTCCTTCCATACTTACTATATAGCCCATTTGGTGTATTTTTTTGGTCTTAAGTTGTTGTATACGTTTTTTTGTTTGTTTTTTAAGATTCAGAGAGCGTGGGAGTGGCAGAGGAGGGGAGGGTGAGGGAACCTCAGGCAGGCTCTGTGGAGCGCGGAGTAAGACACGGGGCTCCATTCCATAACCCTGAGATCATGACCTGAGCAGAAACCAAGAGTTGGATGCTCAACCCACGGAGCCATCCAGGCACCGCTGTGCGCTTTACTATTTTTAATTATCATAAAGCTTTTTTCATGTTGCTTTATAATCATAGATTTTGTTTAGATTGCTGGGGAGAGGAAGGAGTCTCCTTTTCTGCTTTGTGAGCCGGATGACTAGACACGGAGTCAGCGGGTGAGACTGGACGTGGCTTGTGGCTGGTCCCCAGTCCCCGTGGACTGGCCTTTGTGGCGGCCCGAGAATGGTGCTGGGAGGTGGCTGTCCCGGATGCTCGTTTCTGTTGCCAGAGACTATTTTGAAATTTCGGTTGCTTTTAAAATTGGTAACGTGTTCATCTGGTCCAGAAATGGGAAGAACCAAAGGAACTCACAGCCACCTTTCCCTTGCACCTTTGTCTCCCGTGAGGCCCACATCAGGGGCGCGCGTTTGCCAGCGGCCTTGGAGCGGTTCTGCCGGACACGGTGCTCTGAGATGGGCCGCTGCGTCTCAGGGCAGCGTCCATGCCCGTGCTGGGGGACTCCCACTGTCCTCTGTGGCAGTTAGACACGCTTCGATTTCTTCAACGCTTTCAGTTTTACCAAAAACTTCTCAATTTTGATGTAGGTTGCATATGAGTAAGGTCAGATGGGATTTATGGTGTTTTCTCCTGTGCAGAAATGCTCTCCTCATGCTGTTTCCCATCTCCCTTTTTGACCTCTGCATGTTTTGTTTCAGCTTCAGCAGTCCTGAAATTGTTTTCTTCTAAATGATTGTATTTCTTTTGATCTATGGAATCTACTAGAAATCCAGTAGTGTTCTGGGTTTTTGGCCAGTTACCCTCCCTCTTGTACACTTTCCAGAGATTTTACTTCAAGCGAGAGAGCGAGCCTGAGCAGGGGGTGGGGCAGAGGGAGAAGCAGGTGCCCCAGTGAGCAGAGTGCGATCCCAGGACCCCCGAGTCCGGACCCGAGCACAAGGTAGACACTTAACCCAGAGTCCCCCAAGGCACTCCAAAATGCTGTTTTGTTTCAGTGCTGTAGTTTATTCGTATGTTTATATAGTACACCCCATGGTTATATATTAAGCAGGATCAGGACGCTGCCATCAGAGGCCTCCACTCTACCAGTGGAGCCAACCAAGGGCCCCCGGCGTTGGCGTTTCACTTTTCAGAGCCAGCAGTGCAATCACTGGAGCCTTACAGTGTGCTGTAACACTTAGGCATGGTCTTCCTCGGCCGTTCTCCCCGTGCTTACAGACTTTAGTTACCTGAACTAAGGTAATCTGTTAAATGTATGGATTAAGGAGGGTTTCTGACATCGAATGTCTTGTTCATATATTAACTTTGGTACCTGCTGTATTTGCAGATCAAATCTCTGAATTCTCCTGGTTTTCTCGGTATAGCCTCTGGAATTCACATTATCTGCTTTTTCTTCTTACACAGGACCGTCCTACTACACTTTTTTGAAGGTTCCGATCACCCCAACCTCAGAAGAGTCCTCACAACACAGAGGCCTCGCGCTAACGCTGGTGTTTTCTGTGCCACAGACACGTGCTGATCAAGAAGCTCAGTCAGCTGCGGGACAGCGAGCCGGACCTGGCGCAGCTGCTGGTGGATCAGGTGCGTCTCGGGTCCGAGAGAAGTGCCGCCTGTTCTCATTCTGAGAGCCCGGGTCGCCTGTTGACGTGGGGCACCTGTTGCCTCTAAAACCCTGCTTTATTTTTCTTTTAAAGGTTTTATTTATTTATTTATTTGGCAGAGAGAGAGAGAGGAAGGGAAGCAGGCTCCCCGCTGAGCAGAGAGCTCAATGCGGGGCTCGATCCCAGAATCCTGGGACCGTGACCTGAGCTGAAGGCAGAGGCTTTAACCCACTGAGCCTCCCAGGCGCCCCTGTTCTTTATTCTGTTGTGAAGATTTTGAGAGAGCCCAGGACCCTGACAACATGACCTGAGTTGAGCAACTGAGCCACCCAGGCACCCCTGAAACCCCGTGTTGGGAGGCGTAGTGCTCCTCCTCTCTCCCCTCTGCAGGGCCGTGTCCTCCCACTGACGGGTCCCCCTCCCTCTCAGATCTACGAGAACGCCATGATCGCGGCGGGGCTGGTCAACGACCTCCGCCCCATGGTGGGCCGCCTCAACCACCTGCTCGTCAAGGCCCTGGAGCGACACTGAGGGGCCACCGGCGTGAAGGGCCCCGTCTCCCCGCAGGGACTAGGGCTGCAGCGGAGGTGACGAAGAAAGAGGCAGCCGAGACCAGCCATGGAGAAAGGAGGAGGTGCCACCTGTGACAACACCCGCTGTGAGCTTTATTTACTTAAAAGCATTTTTTACTTAAAAACCTGTGTTCATCTAAGCGGTGAACCGGTGCTGGGACTGTGAAGGTGGGTAGGGCGCTGGGTTGCCACGAACCCCACACTCACTGCGGAGGCAGAGGAGCGACCAGGCCGTGTGCAGGGGAGGTGCTCTCAGCCCCGACTCGTGGGCACGAGGACAGGCAAAGCTGTGGCAGGTGGAGGTTGCGTCCTGAACTCCGCTCACGTCAGACCCTCTTCAGCGTCACCTCCACCGGGTAATGGTCGCTGATGGCCTGGGCCTGTGGGGAAGCGCACAGTGAGGACGGCGGCGCACGACCCGCTCCGCACACAGTATTGCCTGCTCGGCCCCCCACGGCTCTCTGATGTCGGTGCCCAGAACGGAGACAGCCGCAAGCCCCCGGGGTGCAGGCCGGAGCCCCAGGAGAGCTGAAGGGAAGGACACCTACCAGCTGGCTGCTGAGGCCGTAGGCAGCCTGGAAGTCAAAGGGGGCAGCCGAGTCTGGAACGATGGCGTGCTGGAGCACCGTTCCGGCCACCACGATCCTGCCGTGCACAAGGTGGTCCCCGTCAGCCCCGGGGCTGGCCCCCCCCACCCCCCCCCCCCCCCCCCCCCCGTCTCTTAGTCGGGAAAGGTCACGCAGTGGGGCTGTTGGAGTCCAGCAGGCCCTCGCTGGGCTGAGGGACTGGGAGCCCCTCCCTTAACCCAGGCACTAGGGCCCCAGACTGCGGGAGGGTGACTGACCCAGGTTTTGGGAACTTGAACCTAGGAGTCAAGGCTGTTCCTGGAGGTGACCCTGTCCGTCCCTGCCTACCTGTCGTAGGCACAGTGCGTGGCCGTGGATGTGGTGTCCACAGTGTCGGCAATCAGCCACTGGAAGGCCGGGCTTGTGCGCAGGCGGATGGAGGCCCACTGGGTGGGGGCCACGTAGCTGCAGCCAGCGTTGAAGTCACCCATGAGCATGACATCCTAGCAGGAGATGGCAGCCACTTGGCCTGGGCACACGGCATGTACCCCCAGGGCCTGGGGCCGGGGACTCACCTCCAGGTCCCACTTCTGCCGAACAGCCAGGTAGACGTCATAGAGCGAGTCCATCTCTGCCACTGCGTCCAGGGGGGCCGCGTGGAGCGGAACAATGGCGAACTCCCAGACCTCTGTGGAGATGTCCCGCTCAGCCCTGGCGGGGTTAGGGGGCACGAGCCCATCCCAACGGGGTGTTTTCCTGAGGGACTTCAACCTCAGACCAGAGCACTAGGGGTGACCAGGGCTTTCCAGGGATCCCAGGAAGGGGTGCGTACTGGTGAGCGGGGAGTGGAACCGGACGATGGCGGGCTCGCGGCTGAAGGTGTCATTCCCGCAGGGCTCGCAGCCGTCGTCGTACTGGTAGCTGTCCAGCACGGTCACCTGGTCAGGCCTGGGGAGGGCCGGGAGTGAGCCTGCGGCCTGGCCCAAGTGGGCAGCACACAGTGGGGCTCAGAGCCCAAGGCCCGCAGTCTGTGGCCTCCAGTTCCTCCCCACAGGACACACTGCTGCCCTCGAGGGCCTCCGCACCCAGCCTTCCGGGAGTGCTCCTGGATGGCCCCCGCCTGTGTGAGCCGGGGCTTTACCTGAACAAGAAGAGGTAGCGTTCCTTGTAGCTGCTGCGGCCCAAAGGCTCACTGACCACGTAATGATAGGTGTCTGGGTCATCCCTGGATCAAGGAAACGACGTCCCTGTCAGAGGGCCGCCTGCAGGGCTCCTGTCTCCGTTCGGCAGCTGTACCATGTCCTGGGGGGAGGGTCACCGTCCCGTGCCTCCCCGGGGCCCCCCCCACTGCCATCACCCACCGGTTGAGAGCATCCAGCAGCCTCCCCACGGCTGTCAGGTGGCTGTCTCTGACCTCCTGGACGATGGCGATGTCGTAGCGACTCAGGATCTATGGACAGGGCCACGGTGATGCTGAGCGGGGCAGCCTGCGTGGACGCTGGGGAGCTGGGCCCCGCTTCCTGCAGGTCCCCACAGGGCTGAGCTGTTCCCGGGGCGCCTTCATGCATGGTCTGGCGTGGGACTCTGCTGCTGGCCGGGGCGGGTTCTCTTCACCAGAGGCTCTGCACACCCTGGGTTGTGGGTACTCTCAGGACGGACTGCTGGCCCAGTGTTCCCAGGACCTGTTAGACTTGTCCCCTCCCCCCGCCCTGGGGTTCCTTGGGGACAGCCCGGCTTGGACTGACCTGCACGATGTAGTGAGAGAGCGTGGAATTGGACATCTTGGTCTCCCCAAAAGTCCGGATATTGAAGGCTGCTATTTTTAGGGACAGGGCCACGTGCAGCAGGCCGGCCAAGGCGAGCAGTGCCCCCATCAGCCTGGCACCCCTCATCCTGCAGGAGGGGTGTTTATGTGTGAGTCTGCAGGAGGACGGTGCCCCGTCGTCCCCCAGAGTCCGACCAGGAGCGGCTGGTGGAGTCCGAGTCTCCGTAATCCCGTTTCTGTGGGCCGTGCTGAGCAGGCCGGGGTGAGACTCAAAACCCTCTTCCCAGTGTCCAGAGAGCCAGACAGCGAAGTGAAGGGCCCGGGGTGTTCTCCCTCCTCCACCCGCCAGAAGACAAGCCCCTGTAAGAGTCGCCAGCCTCTGTTGCCAGGACACCGGCTCACAACCCTCCCTGTCCCAGGCACCCACCCAGCCGGGACGGGCAAAGGCTCTTCCCAAGTGGCCTCTAGGCCTAGCACCCACTTTCCAGGGGCCCCGTGTCACACTGCCCTTAGGGCACCAGACACTCACCTGAAGGTCAACTTCTACGATGGCAATAGGAATTCTTAGAAGAATCAGAAATCAATGTTCTCTGACTGGTATCAACACGCTCTTCTTGCTGCTTTAAGAAAAAATTTACAAAGGAGAGTGAATTAAAAAACGGTGAGAGACCCATGCAGAGTTGTGGCTGAGTCCCAGCACAGGCAACGTTCGTCTCCCCCTGGGATTTTAAAGGTTTAGGCAGCCGTGACCTTTTCCAGGGCATCACCTGGGGGACAGAGAACAATGGTGCTGCCTGTGTGGCTTTCCCACGTCCGTGGATGGCTGGCGCGCACCTATCTCAACAGGCACAGGCTCCTGCTGCTGCAAACAGAGCACCTGACAATATTTGCACTTGGTTTTAAAAAGTCGGATGAACTGGCCAAGGTGCCCTCGTCCTTTACACATGCTGCTCTCCCAGGGATGGGAAGGGAGCAGGTGTGTGCGAGTGGGCGGGCCCGGCTAGGTCCCAGCCTGACCTAGAGCCTCGGGTCAAAGCCAGCCATCCCCTGAGGGGCAACCGCTGCTTCCTCATGGGTCCACCGTGCGGGCTGCAGGCCACTGGGCCCCAGGAAGCGGGGGGATGTGGGGCCCACCTCTGCTGCCAGCAAGGCAGTGGGAATTTAGGGTGAAGGAGCGTGTGTTCTAGGGGGAGGTAACTCAGGCGACTAAGTCTCAGGGACACTGTCAAGCAGCTGGAGGCTCTGGGCCGGCCCTCACCTCTAGTCATTTCTGTTTTAGAATCCCTGTCCCGTCTAGGATGATTTCTGTGTCTACAGAAAAAAGTCACTAAAAAGTTGGTGGCTTAATTGGACAGAAATGTATTCTCTAGCAGCTCTAAAGAACAGAGACCAAAATCCGTTTCATGGCACTGAAGTCAGCGTTTCGGCAGGGGCTGCATCTCCAGATCCGGGGGGCTCCAGGTCACCCCTCTCTGCGGGTCTCTCAGCCCCTCTTACCAGCTCCATGGGATGGGATTTATTAGCCTCCTACCAGACTCTCAGAACCTTACCCCCATCTCAAGAGTCTCAACTTGAGGGGCACCTGGGTGGCTCAGTCATGACTTCGGCTCATGATCCCGGGGTCCTGGGATTGAGTCCCGCATCGGGTTCCCTGCTCAGCAGGAAGCCTGCTTCTCCCTCTCCCATTCTCCCTGCTTGTGTTCCCTCTCTCACTGTCTCTCTCTCCGTCAAATAAGCTTTAAAAAAAAAAAAGTCTCAACTTGATCACAGCAGCTAAGTCTGTGTCCTGCCACCCAAGTAAAATTCATGGGTCCTGGGGATTAGGACAGAGGTCTCTTCTGGGAGCCATTCTGACCCCCTGGAAGGGGTTCCACCCCTCAGGGGATGGCTGTGGTCTCCAAGGCCAGCTCTGTGAGAGAAGAGCGGGCCGGAAGGGTCTCCCCATGTAAGGATGGGGTGCGGGGCGGCCTCCAGACAACAGGGTAGTGTGGATCCTGCTGGAGCGTCACAGGGCAGGAGACCGCAAAGCGGATGACAAACTGGCCAGAAGGTAAACCGACAAGACCAGGAGCCCAAGGTAATGAAAACCTGCTGACACACGGCCGCAGCTGTCACACTCGTCAGTTCACATGTCCCTCCTGTGCAGTCAGGTGGCCTGGCCCTCAAGCTGCCAGCACGCCCATGGCAGCCTGACCAAGGATCAGCTTGCTGCCTCTCCCGTCTGCAGTCTGAGTTTCTAAACACAGCCAACTCCAGACCCCGCCCGGCCCGCCAGACCTGGTGTGTGTAGCGCAGGGAACCGGAGCCCCTTCTCCCCCGTGCTCATTGCCCAGACATCCCACCCCACCCCCGCCCCGCCCTTTCATGGGAAACCCGGCAGGGAAGCCTGGGAGCAAACCAGGAGGGAGGCCACCAGCCCTGCTTCTGACCGAACCTGGGATATCGCCCACAGGCGGCACAGGTGTCACTCACAGCAGCTGCCTGGTCCCTCCGGTTCTCAACACACGCGACACCGGCACCTGTTGGCACGCCCCTCTTGGGGAAAACACTGCCCTCGGGCTCTGTAGGGCCCCCAGGCGTGGTCTGTGCCCTCCCTCCTGGGTCCTGACTGCGGCCCCACTGGAACCAAGAGCCGGGGATGATGACTCCCCTCCGAGCTGGGCCTCCGGAGAAGCAGCACAGCCCACAGAAGAGCCATGGCTGGGGGGGGGGGGGGGGGTCTGGGGCCTGCTCACCAGCTCACCAGCTGCATCTTCAGCCATTTGTTTGTTCGTTTCAAAGATTTGTCCATTCACTTGGGGCACACACATGTGCACAAGCAGGAGGGAGGGATGGGGGGGTGAGATGCAGACTCCCCACTAAGCCTAATGCCAGGCTCAATCCCAGGACCCCAGTATTATGACCTGAGCCGAAGGCACACGGGTAACCAACTGAGCCACCCAGATGTCCCGCATCCTAACTCCTTTTGAGCCTCATTTTCTTCATCTATAAAACGGGAATAAAACGGTCACTGCCCTCCTCTTAGGTTTAAGTATCAAACGACAGCATTCCACGGAACACACATTTCATACCTCGTTAAAAAGTCCTCTTATCCTTAAGAATAGTAATAGCAAATGGTCTGTTTCTGTCACCCTTACTGTTTCCTCCATCAGTCAGGTCGTTAGGTGACCCGCAATCCCAAACTCAGTGGACAGGTGCGTTTCTTCCTCATGCTCAGAGGCCCGCAGCTCCCCGAGGTTCGCTCCTGTGAACGGGGGAACGTGAACTTGCAGAGGAGCCAGCGCCCGAGGCCTCCAGAGGCCCCGGTTCAGAGCGTGCACACAACGGGACCGTGTCCTCTCGGCCTCCACGATGGCCACGGCCAGCAGCAGCAGTGGGCAGTCAGGGGTGCGTTCCTCCATGCCCAGCCCCATAAGGAGACATAGAGTCGGTGCCCCGAGAAGGGCAGGAAGCCCCGAGCTTCTAGCGTGTTTCAGTCCTGACAGCGGGGGACTAGCGGCAACAGCAGACGGCCCTCTCGGACCCGCTGAGCGAGCTCACATCGGTCTGGACAGACTGACACCGTCTTTGGTTGGACTAAACCTGCTCCAGAGACAGGAAGGGGAACTGCACATCACAATGGTTTACTGAAGTCCAAGCCGGGTCTTAAGCCCCGATGCGGCTGAAATCAAAGACCAAGGAGAAAGTCCTCTAAGCACTAAGGCCTGCAACAGAGGGGCGCCTCCATGCACGTGGCTGGGCGCTGGGTCACAGGAAATGCCACAAGACCCCCTGCCCCGCTCCTGAACGCTCTGGGGTGGGGGTGACTTCACACCAACATGTCGCCCTGCGGCAAGGATGTCCACGGCAATGGGAAGGGCCCACAGCTGTGGTTTCCACACGGCGCACTGAGGCGCGTCTGGCCCCACGGGCCCTGCAGGGCGCTCTAGGACACTCACAGCGTCTAAGGGGTACAGCTGAACTCAACGTGGGGGGACGCTGTGGGGGCAGAGCCCACGGTTTCAGCGTTTGCTCTCGCTACGTCTGCACGGCTGCGGGGCTCTGTCATCACTGTGAAATCCGTGTGCAACGGGCACTAATGATGGCAGCGTCCACTCTGATTCCAAGATTTCCAAGTGCCCAACACACCTTCCATTCCTAAGTAATTTTAGTGACTTAACTGAAAGTGTTTTCTCTTCAAATTCGTATGTACAGATCTTCCTCAATTTACCGTAAAGGTTATGTCCTGATAACCGCAGTGACCACATTGAGAAGCACAACTTTCCACTGTTAGGTTTAAATATTGTTGAAATCCACTCAATATGCCTAACCTACCAAGCGCCACAGCTTAAGGGTCGCCTCCTGAAACGTGCTCCGAACACGGGCACTGGCCTACAGCTGGGTGAAATCCTCCAACACCAACCCTATTTTATAGCAGCACGTTCAGTATCTGTTACTCTGCGGACTGCTGTGCCGACAGTGGGAAAAGAACGACTGCCAAGGGTAGACAGACTCACCTCTGCGACCGTGTGGCCGGCTGGACCCTGGGGCTCCTGCCACTGCCCAGCGTCCCGAGAGGATCCTGCCACGGATCCCTTGCCCGGGAATAGACCCGACCCACATTCAGAACTTGAGGTGTGGGTTCTCGTGAAGGCATGCTGCTTTTGCACGTTGTAAAGTCAAAACTCGTTAAGACGAACCACTGTAAGGTAGGGACTGTACATTACTTTTCCCAATGTCTCTTAAGTTGCTAGGACATAAATACTTAAGTTGTTCAGACTTACCTATTTAATTAATGGAACTGGTAGATATTTTTGGCCTAGGCAGTCCCTTAGAATAATTACGGGACCTTACGTAGGGGTGCTCCGAACAGGAATGAGTGGGTCTGACACATACATAATGAATATGCCTGAGTTATGCTATCTGTAGTTCCTATACTGAATAGATCTTCTCTTCTGGCCTTCGTCATTTATAACAGACTGAATACCCATCTTCTCACTAATTCTCTAAACTGCTAATGAGAATAATTATAATCTCAACTCTATTTAAATGCACAAGTGCGGGCGCCTGGGTGGCTCAGTGGGTTAAGCTGCTGCCTTCGGCTCAGGTCATGATCTCAGGGTCCTGGGATTGAGTCCCGCATCGGGCTCTCTGCTCAGCAAGGAGCCTGCTTCCCTCTCTCTCTCTGCCTGCCTCTCCATCTACTTGTGATCTCTCTGTCAAATAAATGAATAAAATATTTAAAAAAACAAATTTA